TGGACCAGACAATCCAGTGATTGACATCATGAGCATCGATCCACTCAGTTGGGATCGATGACATGCATCAACCAAGTCGGCGAGCCTGACCACCCGATCCCGTTAGTCGCCTTTTACGACAAGCATTCTCACCTTTTACGGCAAGCATGGGTTGCTGAAGACCTATTCTACCCCGGAATCTTCACGGGTCTCTTTTTATGGAATCTATTGATAAATTATGTTATGTAATGATTAATGATTTTTTTTCACAATCCCTTGCCGCAACTCTCCACACCATGTACACACGTGGAACTCATTCTTCTTAAGTGCTACTCTCCTTTCTATGACGATATAATTTATTCAATATTGAATCTCAGTTGTGACATTCGTGCAATTATTTTATTAGTACACATGTATATACATTATTTTAATAATATTTGATATTTTATATCACTTGTGTCTCGTTAGCCATATGACGCTGGACTTTGCTTGTTTTACTTTTGTTACTATCATGATTTTATACACTGTAAATGCAAAGTGTGACACATTACTAAAATAGTTATCTTCTATTTTTTTCATAAAAAAGTAACTGTGTGTTGCCTAACGCCGCACCGTAGAATACACCTGCACCTGGACCAGACAATCCTGTGACACGACACCGCGATTTTTTATTGAAGGTCCGTTCTGTTTTGGCTGCGCGCCATCTCACCCCGTCAACATGGATCGTTGCTCATAATGTCAATCACTGGATTGTCTGAGCCTAACTCGATAATTTGCAGGCAGGCGTCATCTACCTGAATATTACTTCACTTGGAGCTAAACATCAACAAACAAACAAAATTCTAACTGGGAGGAGGCAACAAACAGTTGATAACTGTTTCATAAATTTCCACCCCTGAAATAAACTTCTACAACTCACCCTATGAACCGTCACGCTAGATATGCAAATAGACGCAGGTTTTCATGAACAAAGGGCGAGTGGTAGCGACCGATCATGAGTGCGGGGATGAGACGTTGACTTATGTGTACGGAATGTGTGTCAAGTTGGTAGGACACGAGTGACCCGGATTCATCACCACATGTTCTGCATACATTGGGAGGGGGGGGAGGGGGGGGGGGGGGGGGGGGGGCTTATCCAGTGGTTAAAGCGTTCGCTCGTCACGCTGAATGTTCCAGTTCGATTCCCCACGGGTACAATGTGTGAAGCCAATTTCTGGTGTCCCCATCGTGATATTGCTGAAATATTGCTAAACTGCGTCAAACATAAATTATAACATTTATTGAGAATTTAATCGAAATAGAAATTTACGAGCGTTCACAAGTGTCAAAATTAAAGTTTGACACTTGTAAACGCTCGTAAATTGGACACCCGGAACATATTGGTATGTATTTGGTGTTCGAGACATGCTTCGATCGTAGTCAACGAATCTGACCGATTTATTAAGTCGCCTCGTACGACATATGAGGGATGCTGTGGAATTATTCTAACCCGGAATCCCCACATTGTATGACTATATTCTGCAAAAAAAGGAAACGTAAAAGTAGTAAAATTGTAAATATCTGTAAGTGTTGCTGACATCCTCTACAAAATTAATACCAAACATTTCTGCATGGATTGGATTGGTTTGTGTGAAAAGAATGAGGTACTGCAGAAATTTTGTGAAAAGGTGGAAAACTCACAAAAACACAACCACGCGAGATTGGCGCCGAACACACTAACATGACATACACGGGCAAGATCACTTTTGGGCTATAAAAAAGTTGGGTTTTCATTTGGATGCCATCACAATGTTCCAACAAGTGAACAGCGATCGCGAAAGACATGCCACGACTTCTGACGGAAGCACAACGCAACGACGCCATCAGCCGACTGCAAACAGGAGAATCATCTTCAGCTGCAGATAGTTGTTTCCATGTAGCACCAAGCACCATTACAAGACTGTGTAACCGTTATCAGACACACGGGACAACACGTGACCTTCCCAGATCCGGGCGACCACGTATCACTACTAGAGTGAGTGAGTGAGTGAGAGTTAGGTTTAACGCCGCTTTTAACAGTATTCCAGTCATATCACGGCGTGTCAGCTTAATGTGGGAGGAAAGCCCGAAGTGATGCAGGTCTCAGACGTTTACCACTTCGGTGAAACCCACGAGCACGGGTATGGTGCTGACAAACCTAGAAACATAATCGGGGCGAATCGGGATTCGAACCCACAATCATAGGTTTCTGGCGTGCCCAAGGGACGCAACTCTGCACAGCGAATCGCGGCGCCTTAGACGACTGGGCCACCCGTGCCCCCCACTACTAGAGCACAGGTCAAATTCATACAGCTACGTCACTTACGTGGAAGAACCACCACGGCCACCTCTACAACTACGGCAAAACCAGGATTGCTGAGGTGGTTGCTTTTGGCTGGTTGGTTGGTTGGTTGTTTAACGCCGCACTCGGCAATATTCCAGCTATATGACGGTGTAAATTATCGAGTCTTGACCAGACAAGCCAGTGATTAATACCATGATCATCGAACCACGCAATATGTGATCAATGACATGCATCAACTAAGTCAGCGAGCCTGACCACCCGATCCCCTTAGTCGCCTCTTACGACAACATAGTCGCCTTTTACGGCAAGCATGGGTTGCTGAAGATCTATTCTACCCCGGGTCTTCACGGATCTGGCTCAGACAGTGAGGAACCGTTTCCGCGCTGAAGGTATTTCGCGCTAGACGACCAGTGTCATTCTTACGGACCTACATCGTCGGCTGCGACGTCAAGGTCACAGAGTATGACCACAACTGCGATGGAGAAGTTTGGTTCAGTGACGATTCACGTTTTTATGTTTCGCCATGCGGATAGTAGACGTCGTGTTTACAGGCGTCGCGGGGAACGTTATGCACTAATCTGCATACAGTAAGTGGACAGATTCGGTGGTGGTAGTGTAATGTTGTGGGCAGCCATCTCCTACACTGGTAAAACAGTCTTGGTGCAACTTCTAAGGAATTTTAACGGTACACGAGTGAGATTCTTCGACAACACTTACTTCCCATTATGAAACAAGCGAACGTCATTTTCCAAGAAAGCAACGCCCGACCTCACACGGCAAGACTGACAACAGCCTTTTTCAGGCATCACAACTACCATGGCCTCCAGGCCTCCAGATTTAAGCCCAATCGAAAATCTACGGGATGCACTGGATCAACGACTGCGAGAACGTCAGCAACATCCACAGAACCTCCGACAGCTGGCACAAGGACTGCAGGCAGAATGGGTGAACATTCCGCATGTCACAATTTGGCAACTGATTGCTTCCATGGGACGACGATGCCAGTCAGTTTTGGACTCTAATGGTGGCCATGAAAGATACTGAGAACAGATGATCTTGAAAATGTGTTATATGGAACATGGGTCAATGACGATCATGTGGGCAAATTTTGAACAATCGATTACCATCTGTTGATTATTTATATGATTATGTTAAATACTTCTAAAATCACTTTTGCGTTGTTGTGTTTTGCAGAGAAAATATGTGAGTATTGTGTGACGCCGCAAACGCAAGTCATGCTATTGGGGACCTATTCAGCGACCCTCGCCGACGGGCACGAGGTTACACCGTCATACAGAACACATATTTTAACTCACGCATGCACGTTACGACTAACAGTCGTTCAATAATTGATGGGTGAGCGTGACTGTTAAATGTCATTACACAAAGTCTACTTATCGCCAATGCACCTTGCTTTCTTGCAAAATAGCGAACGTACGCTCGTAGAAATGGTCATTAGATTAATGGAATATGTTGACTCGCATTGTATTAATGCAATGGACATGCTTATCATATTTTTTAAAGTCTACATGTATAACTTAATTTGGCACATTACAAACATGTGTGTATGTGTATGTTTGTTTGTTGTTTTAGGCCGCATTGGAATACAATGACATGCATCAATCAAGTCAGCGAGCCTGACTACTCGATCCCGTTAGTCGCCTCGTACAACATAGTCGCCTTTTACGTCAAGCATGGGTTGCTGAAGACCTATACTAACCCGGATCTTCACAGGTCACTGAGTAATTAACATGGTACGTAATTATATATAGTAGGTGAAGTATTAACGGTAACACTTATCCCCCATGAAAGGATTAACATGAGTAGGTTAATTAATAACAACACATTGATAATACTGTAACAGCATGACGGACAGGGAACGCACGACGAGGAAGCCAATTAAACATGCCGCCGGATTATATACTTTTGTGGGAATACAATATTATCCGTCTGCTGTTATTACATACACTGTCGATACATTAAATAAATAACCTAAATATTTCAGAATCCAAAAAGAAATATAATAGACTGATGGACCACACTAAAAGGGTCTCATTACCTTTCAACATATTGGCGTCATGAGACAATGCTGCTAAGCTATGGGGATCAGCTACTGTTACCCGAGACTAACGGTAATATGAACAGTTATATAACATTCGTGTGCATACCCCTCTTATGAAACTGAGATTTGTTCGGGCAATTCCGGCACATCGCTGCACCCAAGCCTCGAGCTGATATCGAGGACACCTATCGGTCTTTATCGAGAGTCCAAACACCAACAACATATCTTTCAATAATGTCAAGTGACAATGACATTGACTAATATTAACACACATGGGCGTTCAGTTCATCAAAGCTAAACACGGACATCACTAGACTAACATATAGTCTCTGAAATGAACATATCGTACAGAAAAAAACAGTTGTTCAGTTATCTTAATAAAAATCTAATAAAAAAGGGAGCCCAGTGATTCTCTTCATTTTCAGATACTGCAGTAATCTAGACTTGCCAAACATTATAGACTTGCATGGGCTGTAGTTGATATAAATGTATCAGTGTCTGTAAGACAGACTAGGAAATCACTGGCGATGCTTAAACAGCACATACGATGATTTAATGAATTATTTGAATAGAAATGTTTCATAACATCCTTCTTTGAAAACGGTACCATACACAAACAATAGAAAGTCCACTCACGCAACCCATACAGCCGGCTTGTGATCTGCCAGAGAAAGAATGGCTGCCTCTCACACATGTGAAAATGCACCGCACCTTGATATTCTCACTCATAGCGCTGTGCCCATGTTGACTGGCGCGATGTGCCGTGTGAAGACCACGAGCCTTTTTAACTGGGAGTGGCCACCTACCTACCCTCTCGGAAAATGAACCAAGCTAGGTGTTCTCCATTCGCCAGGATTGCCTGCCCGCGTTCAAAGCTGACACGCTCTTTAATTCATAGACAAAACAACGCTGAACTTGCTTCCTTGCAAATCAGGCCCAGCGATAAATCAAAATGTAAAACAATATGCGCACACCACTTTGACAAAACGGAATATATCCTTACCAGCAGGTCCAGCAATATGTCCGACTATTTTTTGTCATATCCTGTTCATGTACACAGCTGATCAGTGCACGTGATTCGTTGATCAATGCTGTCGTTGTACATTGCAACGATTGAGCGAGCGACAGATGTTCCCAGAAATAATGCCCACATAGACGCGTGTACATTTCAGTGATCTAGCAAACGCGGTCTGCACAGACTACCGTCCGATAAGTCACGGGCTTGGAATGTTGGAGCGGATTAATGAGATTGCGTTTATGAGATTGTCCGCGTTTACGCCAGGGTTGCTGTTGAAAAGTTTGATTCAGTAATGCCATGCAACTTATTGTGGTGAGAGAGTGCAGTTTATACGCTGTCACATATTGTACTCATGTTGAGAATCGAACGGGGACTTCAGCGTGACCAGTGATTGGTCATCATCACCACCACCACCATCATCATCATCAGGGGCGGTCGGGTAGCCTAGTGACCGTCACGCCGAAGACCTGGGTTCGAGTCCCGACATGGGTACAATGTGTGAAGCCCATTTCTGGTGTCCCCCGCCGTGATATTGCTGGATTATTGCTAAAAGCGGCGTAAAACCTCACTCACTCACTCACTCACTCACTCACTCACCAACCCACCCACCCACCCAAACACCCACCCACCCACTCACCCACTCACTCACTCACTCACTGCAGCCTTCTGCAGCCTTCTGCAGCCTTCTGCAGCCTTCTGCATTACCCAGATTGTCAGAAGGGCTGTATTCCTGGTAGCAAACCCGGGTACTCTCCCAATGCCAGTCAACAGATTGGGGGGTCTAAGGGACCGAGAACAAGGGAGAGTCGGATAACTTGGTACTTGGGATGCAAGCGTGACATTTCGAAAGCGAGGTCCGCATATTTGCCATGTTTTTCCTGAATCTGATGATGAAGCCTAACCAGTCTGGCTGTGGCAGGAGCAACAAAACCCTCTTCGCTGCATGTTCTATTTTAATCTGAAATATTTTTTTATGAATAAGCGACGACAAACATTTCCAAGGCAACATATGTCAATTAAAAGCAGAGTCCATTGTACGATGCTGACTATACCATGAGTATATGTTTAAGGATCATTATCACCCAACTGTGGCAGCTCTTACAAACACATGCAAAGGCAAGTCAATTGTTCACACACGAGAGCTTATGGTACAAATCTAAATAGAGAATTTCATAAAATATATTAACCGTGGCGCCATCGAATACTGTGCGATTCCTGATGCAGCATTGCCACAGTAATACAACGTCACCAGAATGAGTGAGTGAGTGAGTGAGCTTTAACTGGTATGACAGTTATGTCGCGGCGTGACAGCTTGATGTGATGCAAATATCCGACTTTAACCAGTTTAGTGCAACCCTTGAGCACAGGTAGCGAGCAGACAAATCAGGATAATAATAAGAGCGATCTGAATCATAATCTGGGATTCGAAAAAAGCTGAGAATATGTCCATAGCAGTCAGTGATTGTCCGACAATTCCCGTAATCCCTGCCTTCGATATTAACCACGTTGGTAAAAGCAACGAACACGGGTATGGTGCTGACAAAACATGCAGGATAATCAGGAAGAATCAGGAATTCGAACTCAATAACAGCGAATCCTCATACGGGTAAGGGACGCTACTCTGCATAGCAAACTATGTGTAGGGAAGAAGGTTATAAATAATCCTGATTACAGTTATTTTTGTTTTTACCTCTTATTCACTTCATTATATTTCCAGTTATATTTAATGAAAAGGAATGAGGAGAAAGAGGAGATAAAAAATTCAGCAGCATGCACAACGACACAATGATGCGTCTTGGACAGGCAACACTGTTCGGCGTATTGTAGGGCATCAGGCGCTTTAGCCTTAAATTGCAATGATTAAAACTTGAAATATTCATGTCCGTGGACAAATCGAATCGCGGAATCGAAGGTGAACGCATTGATCGTGGATAGGAACGTGATGAAGGCATTGTTTATAGTCATTGTATAGCTTGTCGTCATGTTAATGCAGATCGATATCGAGTATTTCGCTCGCAATCATGACCGAAAAAATCCGAAGCGCAGATTGTAATTTTGCATCACATGGTCCTTGCCTGCATTAGGAGCCATTGACTCTGTTGTATGTTGTATACAACTTGTTTGGTTGTGACGAACGTGACACAGCTTTGACTTCTTCCAAACAATTGTTCTTTGAAGACTGCTACGATGTGTGTGCGTGTGTGCATGCGAGGGTGCATGTGTGCGTGCGCGTGTGTGTGCATGCGTGTATGCGTGCGTGTGCATGCGTGTATGCGTGCGTGAGTGTGTGTATGCGTGCGTGTGTGTGCATGCGTGTGTGTATATGCGTGCGTGAGTGTGTGTGTATGCATGTGCGTGTATGTGTATGCGTGCGTATGTATGTGCGCGTGTGTGTGTGTGTGTGTGTCCGAAACTTGTCTACTTATCATGGAGTAATGAACTGTGATTGTATTAAGTTAGTGTTCACATATCTGTGTTGGTTGGTTTGTTGGTTTGTTGTTTAACGCCGTACTCAGCAATATTCCAGCTATATGACAGCGGTCTGTAAATAATCGAGTCTGGACCAGACAATCCAGAGATTGATATCATGAACATCGATCCACGCAATTGGGATCGATGACATGCATCAACCAAGTCAGCGAGCCTGACCACCCGATCCCGTTAGTCGCCTTTTACGACAAGCATAGTCACTTTTTACGGCCAGCATGGGTTGCTGAAGACCTGTTCTACCCCGGAATCTTCACGGGTCCACACATATCTGTGACGTCACAATTAAAATATATAAAATCTAAACTAAGATATAGACGAAATTGGCAGTAAGAATGTGCACAATTCGCATACTCACCACAGAAAAACATTCAGACTGCAAATCTAATCTTGCACCTTCAACAAGAATGTTCCGGATTAGAAATAGCGATACACGTAGGAGCAGCATTTGTTGTTAATATAAAGAAAGTAGCAAGTAATAAATGGTATTCCATCACCCACCAATTCCTGCAAGTGTATTTAATTACAGATAGCACATCGATTAATGATATTGGCAAGAACGTGAAAGCACTAACGTTCAAGAAGTGTATAGGGATGAGGAACAGGTGCGCACTCCTCGATAGGGCACCATCTACACAAACCTGGTTGAACACATCACCGTGATGAGGTGTTGGCAACACCAGGCCTCCAAGGCGATTACAACCTGGTCAAGAATATAACTACATTACACGCAATAAGTAGATTCCTTAGCCTGATCAAGCCGTTAGTACAAGTGCTATGGTCCCCGGACACTGACACGTGATGGGATGAAGTCACGACTGGGATTGGTCCAAGTGTACTCAGCCTCGTTCTGATGTTTGGAAGTCTATGTGTGGCTGCATGGTTAGCCGTACGTCGCCATTGTGTGGTATATTGTATGTCGCGTCTGGTATATTATATGTCACGTCTGGTGTATTGTATGTCACGGCTGGTATATTGTATGTCACGTCTGGTGTATGTCACGTCTGATCTGTTGTATGTCACGTCTTGTGTATTGCATGTCACGTCTGGTATATTGTATGTCACGTCTGGTATATTGTATGTCACGTCTGGTGTATTGCATGTCACGTCTGGTATATTGTATGTGACATCTGGTATATATTGTATGTCACGTCTTGTGTATTGTATGTCACGTCTGGTATATTGTATGTCACGTCTGGTATATTGTATGTCACGTCTGGTGTATTGTATGTCACGTCTGGTGTATTGTATATCACGTCTCGTGTATTGTATGTCACGTCTGGTATATTGTATGTCACGTCTGGTGTATTGTATGTCACGTCTGGTGTATTCTATGTCACGTCTGGTATATTGTCTGTCACGTCTGGTGTATTGTATGTCACGTCTGGTATATTGTATGTCACGTCTGGTATATTGTATATCACGTCTGGATTTATTGTATATCACGTCTGGTATATTGTATGTCACGTCTGATATTTTCTATTTCACGTCTGGTGTACTGTACATAACGTCTGGTATATTGTATATCACATCTGGTATATTGTATATCATGTCTGGTGTATTGTATGTCACGTCTGGTATATTGTATATCACGTCTGGTGTATTGTATATCACGTCTGGTATATTGTATGTCACGTCTGGTGTATGTCACGTCTGATCTGTTGTATGTCACGTCTTGTGTATTGCATGTCACGTCTGGTATATTGTATGTCACGTCTGGTATATTGTATGTCACGTCTGGTGTATTGCATGTCACGTCTGGTATATTGTATGTGACATCTGGTATATATTGTATGTCACGTCTTGTGTATTGTATGTCACGTCTGGTATATTGTATGTCACGTCTGGTATATTGTATGTCACGTCTGGTGTATTGTATGTCACGTCTGGTGTATTGTATATCACGTCTCGTGTATTGTATGTCACGTCTGGTATATTGTATGTCACGTCTGGTGTATTGTATGTCACGTCTGGTGTATTCTATGTCACGTCTGGTATATTGTCTGTCACGTCTGGTGTATTGTATGTCACGTCTGGTATATTGTATGTCACGTCTGGTATATTGTATATCACGTCTGGATTTATTGTATATCACGTCTGGTATATTGTATGTCACGTCTGATATTTTCTATTTCACGTCTGGTGTACTGTACATAACGTCTGGTATATTGTATATCACATCTGGTATATTGTATATCATGTCTGGTGTATTGTATGTCACGTCTGGTATATTGTATATCACGTCTGGTGTATTGTATATCACGTCTGGTATATTGTATGTCACGTCTGGTGTATGTCACGTCTGATCTGTTGTATGTCACGTCTTGTGTATTGCATGTCACGTCTGGTATATTGTATGTCACGTCTGGTATATTGTATGTCACGTCTGGTGTATTGCATGTCACGTCTGGTATATTGTATGTGACATCTGGTATATATT